ATTTTTGGGTGTCTAGAACACAAACAATGTTGTCGCGATCGGCCAAACTTTCGCCCCTCCCCCCACCTACCCACCCTTTTGGACATCTCTGGATCCTCCCCTGTAATTTGCTATGTAGGTGTCTTCTACTGGACCGTAATATCAAGGATCTGTTTATTACATATGGCGGCTCCCTCCGTAGGGCCCAATTGGACTGGGGCACTGTGTCTTCTCCCCCACCCCCTCACCCAAGAGCCCATAGGCGTTACACCACTGGTCGCTAACCTGCCATTCCAACAGGGTATTATATATCATTATTTTCAAATAGATATTCACGTTATGTAGTCTCTAGTCCTGTATTACAAAAAATTCACTCGGAGTCTCTGTTCTTGCTTACGTAAATATGAAGTTTTTTTTAAATCTTAATCTTTAGCCACTTTTGCTTTATTGTGCTCCGCTACTTCCAAGTATACTATGGGGAATTCAGGGGTTACAAATAACGATTGAATATTCAGGACTGCTATGAGTGCACTGTCCAGTGGCGGATCCAAGAAATCGACTAGATGTGTATAAGAGACAGTTTCTATGGAGAACATACAAACAAGGAATTTTCACAGATGGAGCTGTTATTACCAAATCAGCCCCACCATGGTTAGATGATGAGGTAAGACAATTCATCGTTGTGAAAAGATAGCCGGAAATTGCACTCTCGGACTAAATTCTGTAATTTTATTTATTTTTTTTAAATTTAGGGGTAGGTCATCAGACCCTCATCATTGAATCCGCCACTGATGTTGTTGCACAAGGTTGTGGTGTATACCCAGTGGCGACACCATCGCCACCTGACGACGCCCCCCACCCCCCACCGGGGAGCTTGGTCAGGTGTCGATTATAATGTTTCGAAAGTGGTCCAGGGGCGGGGTACCCGAAAAATATGACAATTTAGGGGTTTCATATGCTTATTTAAAATCGATTTTATTTATAGCCTACTAATAATATGTAGAATATACATAATCTTTTTCCTCCCTGACGAATTTAGGTTTTTCTTCTTTTCGGGTGTTGGGGGGGGGGGGGTGCAAAACAGTGCCTTCACTGTGTAAACCACCTGCAATTACAGATCCAATAATTAAAAATAGAGAAGCCCAGGGTCGGAGTTTTACAGACGAAGGGTCCAGACCACACCTCAGCCAGGTCGTTGTGTATCTAGGTACAGCATGTTATGGCTTCCGTACTGTACTGCTATATTGACGGAAATTTGAATGTAATTTTGTTTTTTTAACTTCAACAATTGTAGGAGCTCCGGGGTCAGCTGATCTTCTCTTGAATCCGACCGAGCAGAAAGTATTTGGGAAAAAAAACAAAACAAAACTTGTGTATCACTTCTAAAAAACAACCTTTTATTAATACACTCTAGTAGTACATAACACACAATAAAGATGTGTATAAGAGACAGCCCCATACCCGCTCCCGTCGAAGAATACACACCACGTTGGGGAAAGGGAACCGGTGGCATAACGATGAGTCAAGGGCCCGGGGGGGGGGGCCAAGAAAGTGTTGGAAGGGGTTAAACATTTTGGTAGTTATGAGGGCCCTTGTGGAATATCAAACAACAGCGTAGCGTGTTCGAATTCTCTGTGAATTATAGCCAATTACTTTATTATTTAAGAGTGTACACTAGATATTTTCTTCTTTTCGGGTGTTGGGGGGGGGGGGGTGCAAAACAGTGCCTTCACTGTGTAAACCACCTGCAATTACAGATCCAATAATTAAAAATAGAGAAGCCCAGGGTCGGAGTTTTACAGACGAAAGGTCCAGACCACACCTCAGCCAGGTTGTTGTGTATCTAGGTACAGCATGTTTTGGCTTCCGTACTGTACTGCTATATTGACGGAAATTTGAATGTAATTTTATTTTTTTAACTTCAACAATTGTAGGAGCTCCGGGGTCAGCTGATCTTCTCTTGAATCCGCCCGAACCGAAAGTATTTGGGAAAAAAAACAAAAAACAAAAAAACAAACTTGTGTATCACTTCTAAAAAACAACCTTTTATTAATACACTCTAGTAGTACATAACACACAATAATGCATTTTATTATACTAAGAAATCCCTGACGCTATTTGTCAGGTTCAACCACTAATATATAGGAATTTGAATGGTTTCTTGAATACACAATTAATACAATGTTGAAGGCTAAAAACTAAACGAATGAAGACAATACCATGTAAACCAACCCTGGATGTGCTGTGCTGCTGTTGATTGATATAAGAGCATATTCAAAATAACTACCAATCAGAAACAAATCAAAAATAAAAATCGTTTTCAAACAATTTACTACAAAAATAATTAAATTAGGAAATGTATTTCCTAATTAGGCCTACTTAACCATTAAGCCTACTTAACAGAGAACATTTTTGTCAATCATTTTTAAGTTAAGATTTGGCAATTCAATGGAATTTGTGGTTTTGTCTCGCGACAGACAGTGCATCTTTAATGAAACAGATTAATAATATTAACTGTGCAATTTTTGACATTTTGTATCTAATCAATATATAATACTGTAACTTTATATCACAAACATTTGGTTTCCACCATTAAATAACTAATATATTATTTATTTCATCAACTTTTGACTAAGAATAGTTACCTGTAATGCTAAATACATGACCAGTTGGATGTTTATAATTATATTCTGTACTGACAATCAGCGAGCATGGGTTTAATACAGTATGTTGCTAAAAATTTCTCTAATCGACTTCTTATACTGTGGCATGTATCCTTTAATGACTAATGCAAGCAAAAAAATGAATTCACAGCAAATAATTGACTATATAACTCATTAAGAAATTTATATTTTTCTGTGATCTAATCACCAATGGTTTTTCTAATAACTAATTACATGGACTTCAGATGAGGTTAGTTCTGCTACTGATAACCTTCGAGGGTAATGTGAGGCAATGGATACACACACTTTCTTTCTGATAGGCGACCAATTATCACGACATGTTTCATAAATCACTTTAATGAACCTTCCAAGTTTGTCAAATAACTGTACTTTGCATTCACTTGCTACAATAATGTTTTCATCACAATCGACAATTACTCTGGAAGGATTTTTCCCAATACAATTATCATTAGGCCCTATACCAACAAGAAGGTTTATAAATTGACCTTCATGATCAAACAATTGAATTCTGGGATTGTGTGCATCAGCCACAATGATATTTCCATCTTTTGTGACAGCAACACTTGAAGGCCCATTCATCTGACCTTCAAGAGCACCCTTGCATCCAATGGTCTTCACCTTACTATAGCTCTCCATGTTGAATACCTCCACACAATTATTAGTATCAGCAACATACACTAAATTTAACTCTTCATTCACATCAATACCGGATGGACAACTTGATTGACCAGTTGATATTGATTTGACCACCTGACCATCTTGTCTGAAGAACGTTATGTTTTTATTAATCCGATCACAAACTATCAAATGGTTGTTTTTCAGTTGGCATATTCCACTAACACGCGCGTTTGGTAATAATGTTATTATTGACATATACTCTCCTGTATTTTTTAATTTATAGATTATGTTTGTTTCACCAACAACTAAAAAATATCCATTTTGAGACATGAATATGTATGTGATGCCTTCACTCTGAACACCAATAACATTGAACAAGTTACGAATGGTTCTTCGACGAGGTTCAACTTGGATAGTGATTGGTGATCCTTTTATTGGAGCATTACAAAATTGTATGTTTAAGGTAAGACTAGCACCAGAACCAGAAACAATGGGAAGGCGAGTGGGTCCTGCTACAAGATATTCTCCCTCAGCAACCGGCTGTTCAAACTTGGCAGTTAAATCAGTATGCAAACATGACGAAGTCCAATTTGCATTCAAGTTGTTCTTATCTATTTCACATTTAAAACTTTGAGCAACTTTAACATAAAAGGATTGGTATTGTGTCACTCTCTTAGGATATTCAGATACGGCAAAGATATGTTCATTTGGCTTTTCGCTAACAACACCTACTCTATGTTGCTTTAATGCACTCAAAATCTGATCCTTGCTTGATGTGAAGAAAACCTTCCCATCATCCCTAGGTTCCGTCTCTAGTAAAACTTCGGCAATCATTTGCTGCAGTTCTTTAGTTGCTTGTTGACATGATTGGAGAGCGGTTGCTTGATCACTTTTCAATAATTTTGTTATGTACTCTTGTTTTTTTTCAATATCTGATATAACTGATTTGAGTTCATCAATTTGTGAGTTGCTTTTTTCTTTCTTTGCCTCGCATACATCATCCAACTTTGCTTCCAGTTCTTTTCCAGTTTCTCTTACTGATTCAACAATTTCTTCCACAGTGTTGTTGATGTCTTTTTTAAGACAAATTCTACTCTTACTAAGCTTTGAAGCATTTGTAATACATTTGTTTATTCCTACTTGTGCCTGTTGTTTGTAGATATCAGCCTGAGCCATCAACATATTTCCTGTTACTTTAAAGTCATTAAATGCATCAGAAGCTGTGGTTACCTCATGCTGTCCTTCATCTTCACTGTGCTCAACAGCACATTTTTGACAGATTGGAGCTTTACAAATGTTGCAATACAGTTCCAGCTTTTGCTCGTGCAGTGGACATAATGGTTGATGTTCTGGCACATTGGCATCTTTTAGCCAATTAGCATTGATTGGTTGCAGTGTATGGTTTTTGAGTAGTGGAAATATTTCATGACAATTTTTACAAGAAGTACACAAATACTGACAGCAATCCTGACAATAGACACCTGCATTGAATTTACCACAACAGCACTTGATATCACCATCTTTATTGAGGTGTTCTGCAGTTTCCACTTTAATGATATTTGATGGTAATTCTTGAAGCCCGCCATCAGATATAGGATGAATTTGGTGGCAATTGGGACATTCTAGTTTTTCTTTTTTCTTCAACCAGTCCTGAAGACAAGGTAGACAGAAGCTATGTTGGCAATATAATGTCTTTAGTTCTTGACACGTTTCTAGGCAAATTGGGCATTTATTCGAACCTCCAACTATAGACAGTTGTACGTCTTTTTCAGCCATGTTTGAACTCTGAAATGATAATAAAAGAATTAGATATTTATAGAAATAATAGAAGATAGAGTACTTTTAAAGAGTATAACTATACCAGTATACATAGTTTTCCTGCAGTGATGGCGCCAGGGTCTGCCCGATGGGTGGGACCCCCACGAAGCTAGGTATGATTATTGGACGAAATTTTGTTTTTTTAATAGGTACCAAGGTAAAGTAGTCAGTCAATAGCTTCAATTTACCCATTAATTTCTGAGAAGGAAATCGAACAAAAATAATGATATGTAAATTTGAAATGATTACATTTTTACAATAGATTACTAACTCAGGATATAAACATGGGAAAAGGACCAAATTAATGCCAAGTGTGGTTCTATCCTGTGGCGGATTAATGAATGTGAAAGAGAGGAGGGACCATCAAAAAACTTTCATAAATGGAGGGTCTGGACTACCTGTGCCCCACCATGGTTGGGACTGAGTGTAAGACAAGTTATGATTATGGCACCTCAAGTTGGTCGGAAATGTCACTTTCAGACTGAAAATTTTATTGCCCTTTTCTCTCTATTTTAAAAAAAAATATTGACAAAATTATGGAGACCTGGGCCGGCTCCCCACCCCCTTAAATTCGCCATCCATAATAATTTTTACCACAGTGCAAGGGTGGCGGGGCGGTTTCCAGGCCCCTCCCCCCACCGTCGTGGAGAAAAAAAATTATATGTATTTTCTACATATTTGCAGACACTAAAATCGATTAATTAAGCTTCCCCGACGAGGGGGCTGTAATAGCCCCCTGGGCCCCTCCCCAGGTGTCACCACTGCTTTCCTGGTCATATTTTTTTTATTATTCATTATCTTTTTAAATTTAAATATTAGACAATCAGTAAAGTATCTTCCAGGGGTGGCGCCAGTGGTGGCCGGGGGATAGGGCCCTCCGTTGGAGAGAGCTTCCCCTCCCCCCACCCACCATTTGGTACTTCATATTTACTTTAATTCAAGACTATTTCATATATCCAAAATGGTAATGTAATGGTTGGAGACTTATATAGTGCATAATACAGTACATGGTTCTATGCGCTGAACAGAAAAACAGAAAATAAAATCTATTCAAGAGGGTCACCTAAGCGAACCAAGCTAAAACAACAACCGAAACAGACTAACACAGAAGGAACCAACACTATCGCACCGTTCACCTGCAATTTGATACCATCGACAAGCAGTGGTTAGCAGGTACATGACTCACAGGTGCTCGAATAGTGTTGGCATCTAGTGTAGCCTATCCTAATAACAAAAGTGAAATAACAGAAAGCAGAGACAAAATAAATTAAAAAGAAAGGAAAAGATGTGATTTAAGGCTCTGCTTGAAAACAGAGAGAGAGAGAGAGAGAGAGGAAGACTCCCGAATGTAGATTGGAAGTTCATTCCACAGCAACCCAAAAAGACCTCTCTCCGTATTTCACGTGGCACCGTGGAGTAAAAAGTGTATTCTGGCTAGTGGTAGACCGCAGATTTCTGGAACAGGTTGCTGAGCGAAGGTGAATTAGGTCACTCAGATACGACGGGGAGGAATTATGAAGGCACTTGTATGTGTGAACAAGAATTTTGAAAGCAATGCACTGTTTAACTGGTAGCCAATAGAGAGTTTTAAAGGTAGGGGTGATGTGCTGTCCTTTGGGTGAACACACATTAATAATTTTGCAAGGCTTGTATTCTAGGGCAAAAGTGCACAGGAGCGATCGGTTGGATTGGTTACCATATTAGCTTTCAGGCTTAGACCTACTAAACCAAGGGTTCTCCTGTATTTACTTGCTCCCTTGATGCCAAGTGTGCTTTTGACGCAATTGATTATGACATAATTTTTGAAAAACTTAACAAAGTAATCTCTATGAATGGTGGCGTTGTCTTCATTCTTGGTACCATAAGCTCACTGTGCGTGTTAAAGTTAATGACAAAATTGTTTGGTAGAGAATTTGCTATTCGTAAGGGTACAGGGCAAGGTGGCTTAACTTCCCCTTTTATTTTCAAACCTGTATAACTATAGGTTTCTAGTTTAAGCACAATGACATACGGTACCGTATTGTTATTGCAAATTCGTCATTTAATGTATTTTGCTATGCGGATGACCTTCTTCTTGTCAGCTTAACTAAAACTTGTTTACAAATGTTGATTATTTATGCTAATCACTACATCACCTCTCATGGCCTTAAATTCAATCCAAATAAAACAACTTGTACTATTTTTGGAAAGACTACATTAACCCCACATCCGTGTTGGTCAATCAACAATTTTAATCTTAAGGTTACCAATTCAGTAACGTATCTTGGTGTCGTATTATCAAGTGATATGAAATCTTCCAAAAATGTTCAAGACAAAGTCAGAAAATTTCAAAAGGCCTTTTATCCCTTTAGATGTGTATAAGAGACAGTTCTTCAACATTGCCAGCTGTCTCCTGCAGCTCGACGTCACGTGGTTGTAGAGTCGACCTCTTCCGGAGCTGTCTCTTATACACATCTAGATGTGTATAAGAGACAGGACGTAGAGTTGGAACCAAGACTTTCGGAGCACGTGCCGAACGTGAAGGCCACGAACGCCGACTTGGAGTTGGACCCAAGGCGTTCGGAGCACTTGCCGAACGTGCAGGCGAAGAACGCCTATCTGGACTCGCCGTCGACGGATTACATCAGTCTCGTCGCACTCGCGGCAATAGGGTGGACACTTTGTATAGTTGAAGCTATAGGCATTGTTTGGTTGATCTTTAAATTTACTTTGTTGGTACGGTAAAAGA